ATGAGCTTGCAAGTGTATCCTTCCCCAGACCTTCCACAAATGCACAACCTTACTTTGGCTTCAACTTGAGAAGAAAAAGATTGAAAACAAGCTAAACCAGTGTGCCTGGACTTCCAACCAGCACAAATGAAACTTATTAATGAATATTGTTTTATGACACYAAATTTGCAATAATCTGTCATGTTAGTAATAGAAAACCAATGCTGCAATATAGGACAAATGATTTGTAGATAATGAGAGCCAGGTTTCTCACTCTCAGAGAAAGGGTTTACAAGTAAAAAAAGGGAAAACTGAAATGAACTCAGTGGCACTAGATCTCAATTGGAGGTATTCAGTGCATATTCACATATGAAAAAAAAAAGAAATAGATGTTGAGATTTGTGTTGACATGAAAATCTTGGTTTTTAGAAGCCWTTCTTCAATACAAGGAACTAGGAATTCTGGTAGAAGGTAAAGTACAGGAGCAGAACAACCAGGAACATTTATTTATTTATTTATTTTTGGTACTGGGGATTGAATCCAGGAGTAATTTACCATTGTGCTACACTCTTAGTCTTTTTTTTTTTTTTTTTTTTGGTACCAAGGATTGAAGCCAGGGGGCCTTTACCACTGAGCCACATCCCCAGCTCTTTTGTGTTTTATTTTGAGACAGGGTCTTGCTAAGTTGCTTAGGGCCTCTCTAAGTTGCCAAGGTTGAGTTTGAACTTGAGATCCTCCTGTCTCAGCCTCCCAAGTCACTGGGATTACAGGCGTGCAACTGGCTTTTTTAATGTTAAGACAGCTTCTTGCTGAGTTTCAGCGTTCTCACTAAATTGCTGCGTCTGGCATGGAATTTGCAGTCCTGGTAACAGTCTCCCGAGTCACTGATATTGCAGGCAACACTGTGCTCAGCTAGCCAGGAACATTTTATGGTGCTGAGCTATACAAATATGTTCAATAATGATGTGCATATGAAACAAACAAAGAAACATGATAGTGCTCCCAACTACYGAATGTAAGACAATTTAATGAATAAAAATAATATTCCACAGAATAAAAAAAATCAATGTATACTTACACAATTAAGCAAACTTATTTGGGATAGCTCTTTCTTAGGGTAGAATCTTAATTAATATAAACTTAAAGAAGTGATGGAAACAGAAAATCATTGTTGGCAAAAAACAGATTAGAGTGCATGTAAGAGTCATCAATAAATGTCAGACTTGGGTGAAAGCTTTCTGAGAAATAAATATTTGCATGGTCTCCAAGTATCTACACAAGAGATATTTCTTAAAAACAAAGAAGGAAATAAAGTTAGACCAGTCATTGCTGGCGAACACAAAACTTATCAAAATGATCAAAAATCTACCATATGCAGTCATCATATTGATACGATGTGTTGGAAGATCAGGGGCASCATTTTTAGAATTTTTGCCAAAAAATATATATATCAGTATTAATCATTAGGAAACATCAGACAAACCCAAATTAAAGGATATTTTACAAAATCATTGGCCAATCCTTTTCCAAAACATGAGGATCTTGTATAGTAGCCAGCTTCTARGATTACTCCAGTGACCCAGCCTTTTCATTTCTGTGGTTTCCTCCCACATTGTATCAGATGTGATAAGCAGACTTCTAAAGATGTCTCCCCCTCCCTGGTTGATTCAACCTATGAATTTAAGGGCTGTGGTGAAGCATCTTTGCATATGTGATTAGGCTTGCCATGGTTCTCTGAATGACAACAGAATGCAGCTTTTAGAAGGAATAGGTCACTAATACTAGGTCCCACTAGATACTATAGTTTGAGTTGTGGTTGTTCTACCACTCTCCTTTCTAWCCTTCACCCCTGCCATGTCTTCAGGCCCTATGAAGGGGACCACATGTTGGGGAATGGAGCTCTCTAACAACCACATGAACACCCCTTCTTACAAGCAGATGATCCCATCCCAGGCTAGTCTTTCTATGATTATAGTCCTAATTAACATCTTTACTGAAAACCCAGCGGAACTGCTCCTGAATTGCTGACCCACAGACACCATAAGAAAATAAATATTTTGAGTCACTGAAGTCTGGAGTTAATAAATATTCAGCAATAGWAAAGAAGCACAATAAGAAAAGACTAAGAAACCATGAGAAATAAATTTAATGTGGGATTTTAGGAAAGAGCCAGACTAGGTAAAAACTATTAGAGTCCCATGTGATTTCCTCACAAGTATTTTAATGAGCATTTTGATAACCAAGATGAACTAAATATGTCCCTTATAAACCATATTACTTCTCTAAGTTTCAGATATTTTACAATAAACTATCTGCAACATGTAGCCTACTCATATAAATCTTATGTCACTCTGTCACACAGAAACTATCATGTGCAAGAATGTTTCTAGTATATATCTAATAACAAATGTTTTCTATTAAATACATCTGTTGAGTTACCAAAAATCATTGAAATCATTAAATTGTATTCACCAAGTTCAAATGTGCACCAAGGTCCCTTTCCCATCCATAAACGTGTTTATATTCACAAACAGAGACAAGCCAAAATTTCCAAAACTGTGTTATTTAATAAGCTCAAATGCTTAAAATAATCTAATACAAACATTCGGATTCAATAAAATATATGTACATTTATTTTGTATAATTGTTTACAATAAAAATCCTGAAAGAAATTTCTATCTATATATTCCTCCAATGTACATGGTAAAGTCAAATATATTCAGTTTTTCTATATATAACAGTTTTACATTTGCATTTTCTACAGTTAAGACAAAAATGTCTTAAAAGTTTTAAGATATATATCCAATTATGTACAAAATCCCATATGTCAACGTATAAGTTCAACCTTACTTTAAAATCATTACAAATTGTGAGAAACACATATTATGAAAAAATTTGTCCTAGAAGTAGCATATAACCTAGGTGGATACAAAAGTAAAAACCCATATAACCCATATAACCTAGGCAGATACAAAAGTAAAAACGATGATTATAAATTATAGTAGTGTCTGTATTACCTATTGTCAAAGGAGGTATTCTTTCTAAATATGTATACCATAAATAATGAATCCTTTTAAAGGCTAAAATTATTGGTTTATTCTATTTTCATTAAAATGTTTGTTAAAAATGTAATCATCTTACAAAACAGAGTATACTGAATACAATGTAGCCCTTGAGTACAAATGCCAATTATTTGATGACTTGTTCAAACTGTTTCTATGCATGGGATGATTTTTTTTGTTCTTCTCCCTAAATTAAGTGGTCCTAGACTCACATGTTTGTATAATTACTTTCTCTAGTTTACTTTCTCATTCTCATTTCACATTTCTATCAGTAAGTGTCTCAGATTTACCATTACTTTACTCGCTGTGAAATTTTCCCTTGCAGTTCTTTGTGTCCACACTAGCACTCATCAGCCTAAATTCTACTTTAGCCTTGGTCCCAACAGGTAGCAGCATCTGAATGTGTCTGGCTGGGTGAGAGGAAGAGTCTCAGATGAGGTAATGACACATTTGTTCCCCTGACTCTCTCACATTTGATTGCTGAAATTTCCCACTTCCCAAATACCTGAATTTTTGGCTTTCCAGGTTTAATTTTTGGTGCTTAAATGTTCCAGTTTAAGCAGCTCTATCTATCCCTCTGCTTCCTGACCTTCTGCTTCTCCCATCTAATAGCCAAGTGTGCTTGCTTCCTAACACCTCCATCCTTCTCCTTCTTCTTCAGCTTATGAATGCTCCTAGGATCCTGAATACTCATCTATCACAGATTTCCACCAACCAATCTCTTAAATTCTGCAAATGTCTAGTCCTTCTGACCCTAGCTTCCCACTAGGTCTTTACTCTCTCTGTGATAACCTCATCACAGTCTACTAAAACCCTGCTTTGGAAAAAAAAAACAAAAACCCTAGGGGAAGGCTCTGATGGGGAAAATCTGATAACACTTTTCTAGTCAGTAAAATTTTTAACAATAGTAGAAGTTGCTTTGGTTGATTTGAACTAGTTTCTCTATATTCTGAGTAAATTTGACATAAATCTGACCYACATAAATGAAGTTTATTTATAATTTTATCAGGTTTATGGAATACTTCACATTTATACTAAATGCAGCAAAGAACAGGGTTTAATGTTTTAATTAAATAACAATAATAGATGCCTTCTATGTGCAAAGCCATACTGTAGGTAGTCTAAGTAATGTGCTAGGTTATCASGTTTAAAATTAAGAAAAATTATTCTGTATACAAGTAATATCACATTAAGRAATCTTTTTATGTCTAATTGGCACTTTTCATTGTGGAAGCTGGTTCTTTCTTCTGAAATATATATAATTGAATAATACTATCACAGAACAAAAAAAGTAAGTATTAAAAATCAGCAACATAAAAAATCAGCTACTGGAAATCTTATGTTGAAATGAACTTGTATATTTGATGTTGAAATTTTTCATATACTGGGACACAAAGAAGGTAACTAACCTACCTATATTCTAAATAGTTCAATAACTTAACTTTAGTAAAATAAAGATCAGATTAATATATGTAATTTAAAAACAAATTACATTGTAAAGCTGCCTTTAAATTCATGGACTTTCACAATTCCAAGAAACAATAACAATGATTAGTTTAAATTTCTACATTACAAGTTTCCCAAATACGTTTAGATTATTAGAGACAAAAATGCAACAAGTTGTAAACAAAATAAAAACTTTTCATCATGCTGTTTTTTAAATATGGATTTTAAACTAATTTTTAGCTATTTTTCTTGTTATTGGTTGGAGATTTCATACCTAGACAGTGAAAAATAAGTGAGCCTGTGTGTGTTTTGAGGCTTTGGTTGGCTTTGAAGGCACAGGTCTGTTTCTTGTATGAAAATCAAGAGTCCATACATATACAACAAACACATGTGATTATAAACCATCAGTGTTTAAAATACCATTGACTATACTCGGTAGATAATGCTGCCGTGGCACTGTGTGTTCTTAGAAATGGAGGTCAATTTTCCAACTGTCAAATAATCTTTTCCTCTTCACCCTTCATTTCCTGCTTTGTTGAGATCCCTTTCTACTACAACCGTTGTCACAACTGCATTCTGATTTTGAAATGACACATCTGTGTTCAGTGGTGGTGGTTTATACAAAAAGATTGCAAATCCATTGAAGAAAATGGTGATAACTTTACAGGTAACAGCTAAATAGAAAAATAAAAATTAATTATGTATTTGGCCCTTCAGTTAAATATACAGTAATTATTGTATCCATGGTCATAATTGCATATTCTTATCAAGTAAGTGTCATGTGGGATTAAGTAAATCCATGTTCTATTTATAAATTTAACACACTATCATATCTTAAGAAATTCATAAGTAACCAAGTGACTGTGATAAAATAAAATAGCCTATATCATCCTTAAACTTGAATGAGTTGCAGGTGTTTCGTATTCAAATGGAAAAAAAAAAACCCTTTGGAGTTCTTAGGAGAACTCTTCTACATAAATATATCACATTTACTACTTAACCAAATTTACCCTGCTGTATTACCTAAAAATATGAAACATTAAGATTTACTTCACAAACTTTGATCTGTTTTCAAAGAACTCTGGTTTTGAAATCAATGAGGCAAAGAAAAACTAGCTCCAACCACAATACTAAGCATTTAATAAGTGCCAGTAGAATAAATTAAATGTGATCTTGCCATGTAGTTTTTCTAGAARCTGATTGCTTTTTACTAATCATTACTATTTTTTTTAAAATGTATATTTGAAAATCAGGAATGCTCATTGATACAACCATTACTATATTTGTGGAAAGAGGAGCTACATAGATATACAAATATATTAAACACTTCTCTATTTTTAAATATTCTAATTACATGAGTTATTTTTGAAATTTAAATTTTAAATTTWTCATACTACTACACATTACATGTGCTACTCTACTTCCTTAATCTTAACTTTCATTTGCTATTTAATCAAAATATCACAGACCATAAAAGGTGAATAGGGTTAAGCATCAAGACTAACCTTATAAACTATAATATCATGAGCTTTGTAATGTTTTGAACAACCAATAAAAAAATTTAAAAATAATAAAATGCTATAAACAGTAAAAAAAAAAAAAAAACTATAAAAAATTTCTTACAACATGTCTCAGAACCAAAGGACACTTCCCTACAGCAGGTCTAYGTTTTCCAAAGCCTGAACACCTAGATGACCATCATTCTCAGAATTTATCTTTAGCTTTTGGGTAMACTCCCATAAAAAGTGTGAAAAAAATTAAAAAAGAAAATTATACGATGTGTGAAATAATGAAAGTTAAAATTATACTTTCTAGTTAAGACTGAGCCTTGAAGACTGTCTTCAAAGATTCTCATTACATGGTGTAGCAAATGATTTCTGCTCAGGACTCCAGGATTGTCCATCAGTTTACACTGAACTTTCCATAACTCCTATGACTTACGGAACCAAAAATGAGATTTTTYTACTTCACATTTACTCTAAAGTTTTCAAGAAGTCACTTACCTATACCTACTAGCATATGAGCCATCTTTATGTTATCATAAATCCAGCAAGCACCTTTAATTCCACATTGATTAATATCCCAGAGAATACATGTGCTGTCGATCGTGACACCAAATATAATTGGTCCAGGTATTGTGCCTAGAAGAATTATARGCAAAATACAAAAGGGTAAAGGTTACAGTTTGCAATCACAAGTTTTTAATATATATAGCTATACGTATATTTATATACATAAAAATGGGCACAAGACTGTCAATGAGAAAGTTAATCATTTCATGTACAAGGCAAAAAGACAGATAAAATACTTTAAAATAAATATATTTAATTATATATTTGTAATCAGTTCAAAAATACTAACAGAAATCTTAAGCATATATTATATTAAAATTTAACTTAGTAAAGAGTTTAATTCATTGTTTTTATAATTTAATGAATATGCCTTTGAAATTAGCTATTATAGATTTTAAAAATCAAAATGCTTACTCATAATATAAAAGTAAGTCTGTTGAATTATATAATATATATAATACATGTGTTGTGTATACAAGTTAATATGAATTTGTATGAGTACACACATGTATGTAACATGTTAATAAACATAAGTATTTCTTACACACACACACATGCACACACACACACATTATTGGAGCCAACCAACAATAGGTTGAAAATATTTTTTAAAAAATTCATCTATACTGAACACGTGCAGACTGTTTTTCTTTGTCACTATTCCTTAAACAATATAGTATAACAGTTGTATTGATACATAGCACTTACATTGTTTATGTATTATAAGAAATTTAGAGATGATTGAACTATATGTATTTGTATATTTTTATGTGGTGCTAAGCATCTAAGCCAGTGCCTCACACATGCTAGGCAACTGCTTTGCCACTGAGCTATAGCCCCATTTCAGATTGACCTATATGGAAAAACAGGATATGCCTAAATTATATACAAATACTAAGCCATTTTACATTAGGGACTTGAGCATCCAGTGATTTTGGTACCTGCAGGGGTTTGGAACAAACCCTCCAGTGACACTCTGAGATGACTATAGTCAAGACACTTCCAATTGTTACAAGTCAAATGTCAGATTTCCAGTAGTACTTCTTAGAAAAAAACAGGCTATATCTGGTCTGTGCTTTCATGACATGTAGCATGATAKAGTCAAAAATACACTTGATTGGGGCTGGGGTTGTAACTCAGTGGTAGAGTGCATTCCTAGCATGTGTGAAGCACGGGGTTCAATTCTCAGCACCACATATAAAAAAAAATAAAAAATAAAAAAGTCTATCAACAACTGAAATTTTATATATATATGTGTGTGCAATTGACTGCAAAGGATCATTTTCCTGATCTYATTTCCATTATTAATTGTGTAACTATGGACAAAACCCTGAATTCTTCAGAAACTTAATTTACTCATGAGAAAATAAGAAATTTGTTTTAGGTAATCTCTAATGTTCTTTTTTATTTTTATTTTAATAAATTATCACAATATTATGTTTATTATATTTCTTTTTTATTCTTTTTACATCTGCAAATTCCCATATCTAAAAACTTAGAAAATTCTCTAGAATATATTATTTCTTCCACTGGTTCTTAGTTTGTAAAAATGTTTACACCACTGTTGCTACTGACATATTTTAACTCATTAATTTTTACTGTTAATGCATCATAACAGTGTCACAAATAAAGATAAAAGCAGGGATAAATTAAATTGTGTATTAAAGATTTTATTTTATATTCTAAGTAAATTTGATACACCTTATAAAGTTATACTTGCAACATGATTGGAAACAACCATAACAAATTGGGTAAGTGAAAAGTTGTCATGTTATCATGCGGTATATAATTAATGTTACATCCTGAGTATTGGAAAATAGCTTTCTTAAATGACAATTATATAGTTTTCCTCTTTATTTTAATTATTTTCTTGKCATATACCATATAGAAATATATTCATAAAATCAATGAAACAAAATAGCCAACAATTACCAATGAAATGACATACCTAATAACCGAAGTAACATGAACTGTATTCCTAATGCTAGAGATCGTTGATTTTGATTAACACACCTGGAAATATTAAATGCAAGTGAGACCAAAAAAAAGGTTATATAGAATAATCACTCTTCGAACAAGTTCATATCTATATCAGTTTAACATTTTGATAAAAAAGTAAATGTGCATATAAATAAACAGGTTATTTAAAAGATCTTATAGTTTATTCATTCTGGGATTATAAAAGAAGAAAAGTTTTATCAGAATTAAATAACACCAAAAAACATCACCAGACCCTATGAATTTTAACAAAGGTAAAGGAGAAGAGTCATGTTTAAATGTTCCCTCTACACCTATAGCTAGCATCATAATTAATGGTGAGAAACTGGAAGCCTTTCCTTTGAGATAGGAATATAATACCACAATTTCTGTTTATCACAGTATTTGAATTCCTGACCAAAGTTCTTAGGTAAGAAAAAGAAATAAAAGGCATAAAAAACGGGAATAAAAAATTAAAACTGTCTTTTTACAGATGATTTATATTAATTATTTATATGTGTGTGAAAATATATATATTTATACTAATTATTTATATGTGTGTGAAAATATATATATATATTCTTAAAGACTCCACCAAAAATATTAGAATTAACAAATGAATTTAGTAAAATTCTGGGACTGATACAATAACAATAAACTATTCAAAAACTAAACTAGGTAAATCTAAGTAATCAATCCCATTTACAATTGCATAAAAATATGTAGGAATAATAGTAATCAAAGGAGTATAGTTTGTGCACTAAAAATATTTTWAAAAATAATGAAAGAAATTGAGGAAGACAAAAATAAATGGAAAAGCATCCTATGCTCATGGATTAGAAAAATTAATATTGTTAAAATATATCTACTACTCAAAGTATTCTACAGTTTCAATATAATTCCTATCAAAATGCCAATAGCATCTTTCACAAAAACAGAAAACATAATTCTAATATTCATATAGAAAGATTCAGAATAGTTAAATCAATCTTGAACAAAAAGAACAAAGCTTAAGGCATCATATCAACCAATTTCAAAGTATAGTACAAAGATATATAAATGAAAAAATATGATTCTGGCATACAAGATACACACACACACACACACACACACACACACACACACACACTACCCACCAATAGAACAGAATAGGAAGCCACAAAGTAAATCTATATAATTGACCTTTGACAGAGGTATCAAGAACATACTATGGGTAATTAAGATTTTCTTCAATAAATTGCATTGTGAAAACTAAATATTCCCATGAAAAAAGAATGAAATTGGATCCTTAACTTGTACTATAAGTAAAATCAATTCAAAATGGATTAAAGACTTAACCACAAGACATGAATATTTAAAACTTAAGCAAAAAAGTAGCATATAACAGTACACTTACTTAGCATTAGTCTAGTCAGTGATTTTTTAAATGTATAAAACCAAAAGCATAGGCACAAAAGCAAAAATAGATAAATGAGATTACATCAAACTAAAATGTTTCTACACTGCAAAGGACACAATCATCAAAGTGAAAAGATAACCTATAGAATTGAATAAAATATCTGCAAACCATACATTACATGAGGGGTTAGCATCCAAAGGAAATCAGATACTAAAATAACAAAATAGCTAGAAAAAGAATCCAATTCAAAAAATAACCAAAATATAGTTTTGCAAGGAATATATGCTAATGGTCAACAAGAATATGAAAAAAAGTCTCAACATAAGAAATCATCAGGGAAATGTACATCAAAATCAGAATTAAATAAACTCACACCTATTGGTGTAAATATTATAAAAAATATATAATGGATAACGAATATTGGCAAGGATTTAGAGAAAAGGCAAACATAGCATACTATTAGAAAGAATGAACACTGGTATGGTCATTATGAAAGGTAGTATACAGAGGGTCCTCAAAAATTAAAATTAGCATGTGATTCAGCAATCTCACATCTGATTGCATATGAAAGGGAATGAAATAAGTATGTCCAAGAGTGTTCATTGCAGTATTCCCAATAGCTAAGATATGGATTCAACCTAAGTAAATGGATAAATAAAATGTGACAGATGATTCTATTCAGCCTTATAAAGCGAAGGAAATCTTGCTATTTSTTACAATATGAAGAAACTTGAAGATATGCTAATGGAAATAAATAAGATAAAGACAAAATACTACATGATATCATTCATATGTGGATATTTTTAAAAAACAACAACTTCACATAAGTATAGGGAACAATTAATGATTGGCAGAAGCTGAGGGTGAGGAAATGGGGTGATGTTAGTCAAAGGGTAAAATGTTTCAATTACTCAGGGCAAGTTCTGGAGATGGGATGCACAGCATGGGGACTGCACTTAATAATACTGTGTTGTATGCTTGAAATATGTTAAGAGTAGATGGCAGTGCTGGGATTGTAGCTCAGTGGTACAGCACTTGCCTCAATGAGGCAAGTGTGAGCCACTAGGTTTGATCCTCCGCAGCACATAAAAATAAATAAGATAGATAGATATTGTGTCCATCTACAGCAAAAAAAAAAATTCAAAACAGTAGATGGCAAACGTTCTCACCACACACACAAATGATAATTATGTAAGATGATATATATATGTATGTGTGTGTGTGTGTGTTTGATTGTGATAATCATTTCAGTGTATATATATTTTAAAATATTGTATTACACACCTTAAATATATTCAAATTTCATTTGCCAATTAAATCAAATAAATCTGGAATTTAAAAAAATAAACTAAAATTTATACAAAAAAAATGCTGAGTTTTTATTATCATTTTTAAGTTGCAAGCACGTAATTCTTATTCCTTTTCTAACTTTGATACAGAAATCATGCCTATGGAATAGGGTATATATYTGAGACAGATTCAGGTATGAATCTGAAGCTCCATTTGAATCAACAATAATTCTTCAAGTCATAAGTGTCAAACATTAAAGAGACACAATGTTGATCACAAAAAGAAAATCAGATGAAAGATAAAAGACAACCACCAGACTTTTAAAACAAGTAGTTGAAAGTAATTTCTATAATTTTTCAAAAAAAATTAAAAGCATTTTCCTCTTCTCTAAATACTTCCAGTTTTCATGTTGTGTAGTATTAACCACTTAATGTTTTCAGAATAGAATCCAGAAACATTTTTTCATCAAAAAATACATGAGGGAGCCGGAGTTGTGGCTCGGTGGTAGAGCGCCTGCCTGGCATGTGTGAGGCCCTGATTTCGACCCTCAGCACTGCATATAAATAAATAAAAGATCCACTGAAAACTAAAAAAATRTTTTTAAAAATACATGAAAAGGTAGCAAGTGACTATTATGAAACAAAATGTTGAAACGAGAAAATCTACAGCTTGCTAGGAAAAAATACAGAAAGGCTGGTGAGTCCAAGGTAGGGCAGGTAGGAAATAGTTTTGTAAAGCTCAATATGGAAAAAAAAGGAACAATTGAAAGCATAAAAAACAAACAGCCAGGTGACAGCCAGCTCCTTATTGAAGCCCTGTCTCCAGGAAGATTTACTTTCAGAGCACCTCATGTTTAAGGCAGAATGCATGTCATTTCTAATTCTGGTTTACAAGGAGTGCTCTTCATTTCCATGATGCCCAAATTGAATTGAATGTATCTTCAGCTCACACAAAAAGAAGCTTTATAAAAACAGGCAGAGAAAAACCAAGTACATCCCAGGTAGTCAAAGTTAAGATGCTTTTGCACAATCTGATTTAAACTCCATAAATCTGGGGATCCGTGAGGTTACTTTTCCAATGCCACAGAATTAATGAGTTTGCAAGGGCTGAAGTTGCCACGGAGTCTATTTTTCTTTTAACTCAACATGTTGCCTCAGAAAATGCAGATTCACAACTGATACATACCTTAATATGGACACAGTTATTGGAGTACCAGCCATAAAGGTAAAAATAATTGCAACAAAGAAAATGCCAAGAAATATGGGCAAGTTTGCACAGTGACTTTCACATTTTCCTGCTTTAGCTTCAAAACCAAAATTATCTGCCATAGGTGTTATTTCTGCTTTCCTTTCAATACAGGAACAGTTGTAATATACCTGAAAAAGTTAGATATAAAACACTGTATTTATTCTGAAAATAGATTGTTATCATTGTAAATAAGCTGATCKCTTTAGACTTGGCAAAACTTTGCATTCTGTCTTAATCCATATACAATAAATAATGATGAGAAAGAGTAATTAACCCTAAAAAATTAAGTAGAAACAAAACATACATTTGCAGTAGAATCATCTGTAGTTTGACTTGTGTCATTACTTCAATTTGTAAATTACTATTGTCTCATGACTTACAAAACAAATTGATAGCAGTTATGTGATCTCACACACTTTAGGTTTTCATTAGACCATAATTGTTTAAATAACTTTATTCTTTTCCACTACAGAAAGCGAAGACTATAGTAACAATCTTATTATCTGCAATAGTTTAACAGCAAACACTAGAATTGTGACAAGTGCCATACTAATATTAATTAACACATCCTAAGGATTTGGAAAAAACAACTTGCTTCTTTTAACTATAACCTTCTAACTGTAATTTTTTGAACTTATTGGAATTACTTTAGTGCAAGTAAACTATCCTTCCTAACACAGTAGGTTGATGACAACAAAACAATAGACATGACAATATCATCATCCTACAGACTATTTTACATATACACTTAGTATGTATATAAATATACTTATGCATATAATGATAATATGAAATATTAAAAGCTAGCATGATCAAAAAAATCACATGGTTTTCCTTTGTAGAAAAAATAATTCAGATAAGTAAAAAGTTGGTTAGGCTATGCATGATGGTGCTCAGGACCATCTGTAGAAGGATCACAAGTAGAAGGATCACAAGTCTGAGGCCAGCCTCAACAATTAACCAAGACACTGTCTCATAATAAAAAGGGCTGGGGATATAGCTCAGAGGTAAAGCATCACCAGCTATAATCTCCAGKACCACAAAAGGCAACTTAAGAAATAGATAAACAAATAAAATAAAAAATAAAAAGTTGGTTAGCCACAATTTTTTCTTAAAAGCATTTTAAATCTGAACTGCATTCCTACTATAAATCTTTTAACACATTTTAAATCACAGCCACCATCAAAACAAAGTCAGGAACGTCAAAGAAAGTTGATGTTTTATTGTTCCAATAACCAGAGACCTTTCTTCAGTGCTAAGGAAGCAGTTTTAAGACCACTGGCATGGATACAGGAAACCAAATATGAAGATGAGACCTCCAAAACTAATACATACTAAGCAATTAGATGTATCAAATAATAAAGTAATTCATTTAAAATTGTAAGAGGGTAAACTGAAAACAGGATTTTGTATTATGTTAAAAACTTCACAGCTCTCTTACATAAAATACACATTTGCCCATGAAGTCTGTTTTTGTAGTTGTTTTGTATACCTATAAAATATAAGATGAATATTGTTGTGAGAAAATGTGCATATGTATTTATTACTTTTTTAAGCATTTTCATATTTATTTTTTATTTTTATTTTGTCTTTTTTGCATTTTGCCTATTTAAGCTATTCCATAAGAACAAATTCTTGTGAATCAATGGCTAGTGATGTGGACTTGCTGAACATAAAAATCCAAGACAAAGACAATATTTGGAAGTCAAAATAATTTGCTCTAACTATACAATATCCAGAAGGCAATTTTCTGTGTAAGGAGGTAATCATCTTATTACTTGGTCAAAAATACAAATGCAAATTAACCATATCAAAATCATCAACAGTACTCCTACTATGCTCTGGGTGTTAGATTTTTCATCAGCATTTCCTTAAGCAGGATGGTATTTTTGTCTGTACATTTTTAGTTATGCATTTAAAATCTAATAATTTAACTCTTTAATATTTATATGTAAGAAAATGCTACCTACTTATCCACCTCTCAAAGGAATAGCTACCTGCCAAGTAGTTCTGATTCTAAGGTATCCACCAAGGTCACCTGTGGAATTTGATTCTTTTTAACTGATACAAACACCTGGTTTTCTTAAGGTGTTTTGAAACTAAAGCAGTTCCAGATATCTACTTGATTTGAAGAAAAATAAACCTCTGGGGATTAAATTCTTAAACTTCTTCTGAAGTCTTTTAAATTTTCTATAGCTACTTCTTACAAATGAACATATACTGTACATGATTCACACACATACACTCACACATGTTGGTTTGGGAAGAAATTGGAAGTCTTTCTAACAACATAAGTGATGTTACAAAAATATATGTGAATAATTGCCAAATTGATATTTCAACAAGAACCACTTGAGTCATAAAGGAAGAAGGGTGTTTATCATCAGCAGGTTTGGGTTTTTTTAATGGAGGAGGGACAGGAAGATAAAGCAACTCCACTATAGGATCAAAAGAACTATCATAAATGCACACATTGCCTCATTAAAGATAAAGTAGCAGACACACTTACCTTTGTTTTCTTATCTGAAACAGAATTTGAACAACCTGCAAAGCATGGAGAAAAATACTGGACTCCATCTACTCCACAGAGTGGATAATAATAGGATCGTGAACAGCTACAATTGCTATTACAAGGGGCTGTCAATTTTCCCAGTTCTCCTGTTCTGTAATAAGAAAAGACAAAAGATCAAATTCTCTATGTCATAACTTTTTWAAAATTTGTTTCATTTTAGTTACACATGACAGTACAATGATCTTGACATATCATACATTTGAATCATATGGGGTATAATTTCTCATTTTTCTGAGTATGTCATAACTTTTTTGTGATACTAAGGTTTGAACCCAGGGCACTCTATCACTGAGGTACATTCTCAGCACCACCCCCCTTTATTATTATTTTTTTTTTTGAGACACAGTTTCCCTAAGTTGCCCAGGTTGGTCTTGGCCTCTAAGGTCACTGGGATTTCAGTTGTGCACTACCACACTCAGCTCTAGGTTTTGACTTTTAAAGACAAGTTCAGAGCATTGTCATATCTTCACATTCAGTCATTTATTCATTCACTGAGCACAGGATTACTGACCATATAACACAAAATTTCCACCTTTGCACATATGCTTACTTTCTTGTGATGCAGAAGCAGTAAAAATAATAGTTTTATAATGCCTGCCAGTGAAGAAGAACAAGAACAAGAACAAGAAGAAGAAGAAGAGGAGGAGGAGGAGGAGGCAGCAGCAAATCAGAATAAGCAAAGAAAGCAGATTTTTATTCTGGTGATAGACAATGATTGTGTAGACTGGTTCTGTGAATTGTGGGATGTTAAGCAGCATTCCCAAACTCCAGCTACCAGATGTCTGTCAATAGTGTTTTCCTTAGTTTTGAAAGCCAAAAAGTCTCCAGACATTTGCCAAATGTCCCCAGGTATTATGTTCCCAGAATTTTTATCCAAAAAGGATGAATAAAATCATGTCATTCAATATATTCAATTTACCAATGGGAAAACTGAGGCCTTTAAAGATTAGGTTACTCTTCTGTATTTGCCAAATATACTTTTCCTGATCCCTAGGTCTAGTGTCATTTTAAAAAGGCTTACAGAAAGCAATAKCTTTCATGATATAATGAGTTACTTTAATCAAAGATGCTTCCCCAATGCATCATTCATTCATTCAACCATACATATTGAACAAGTGTTAGGACCTATGCAAGGTAATGGGAATCCAAAGCAATATAAGATAGTCCCTGCCCTTAGAGACTTCAGGGTCTAGGAATACAGTAAAACATTTTTTACAATTGCATACAATTTTTTTACAATTGTAAAAGACAATTGCATAGTAACATGTTGAGTATGGTTAGATATTTGCAAAGTGCATTCTAGAAGAACCAGAGACAGTCACCTAACACTAGCCAGAGTTTGGAGGAGAGATACTGGAGGAGCTACTGCCTGAGATGAGTCTTAAAGGATGAGTAAGATATAGCTAGGCAATGAGGTGGTGGTGGTGGGGGGAGGGTTCAGAAAAAGCTGGCACAAAGGCATAGTAGTGAGAAACAGCAACCTGTGGATGTGGAAAAATATAAATGGTGTCTGAAGTCAAGAGTGAGAGGAAATGTACTTGGAGAGGAATTAGGGACCAGATTAATTAGGCTTTTCATGGGCCTTGTTACAAATAATACACTTTAACCTACTGGCAAAAGATAATAAGTATTTTTGGGAGGTGGGGGTACTGGGGATTGAACTCAGGGGCACTCAACCACTGAGCCACATCTCCAGCCCTATTTTGTATTTTCTTTAGAGACAGGGTCTCACTAAGTTGCTTAGCACCTCGTTTTTGCTAAGGCTGTCTTTGAACTCACAATCTTCCTGCCTCATCCTCCCAAACTGCTGAGATTACAGGCATGTGCCACMACACCGGCCAATAATAAGTATTTTTATAACAAAAATGACATTGCAGAAGTTCATTTTCAAAAAGTAATCCTAGAGGTTGTGCAGAGTATGGACTTGAAGAAAKGAGATCAACTAGAAGACCCTAGACAACAGGTGATGACTATACAAAGTAGAACTGTTATTTTAAGATAAAAAACATGATTACATATAACTATTATTTTGACTGTCTTCCCCCCAGAAAGAGATAATCCTATGTGCAAAGACAGATATTTCATTTTTTCTTTCAGTGGTCAYATGTTGAATGAAAAAATAAATGAATGGCAAGATATGGAAATGCTCTGATTTGTTCATTAAAAGTTTATAACTTTTAAATCAACCAAAAAATATTGAAAAAAATCACAACTTTTAATGAACATAGATAATTTGATCTTTTGTCTTATTTACAGTACAGGAAAACTGGGAAACAGCCCCTCGGAATGCCAATCATAACTGTGATTCTATTGTATTTTAAATATAAGAAAATGTGCAGGAAATAGGTTGGAGAAAAATTTTAGTTGTGCAGCCAGTAAGATCTGATAATTTGTTAACTGATTGAAGATTGAAGRATGGAAAAGTCAAAGGTGACTCCCAGTGGTGCAATAAAAAAGGAAAATCAGTTTTGAAAAATAGGTAACAAGTATGGTTGTATATGTACAGAGATTAAGAGTATCAAATTTGGTAAAGAACATAGCCGGAAGCTAGAAATCTTAAAATCTATTTGCATACAGATGTAGCTAAAACCAGGAGCCTTGATAAAACCAGCCAAGTAGAGCCTTGTGAGAAGAGCTTAAGGTATAGGGCGCCCACCTGCTAATGACTGTGCAGTGAGCTCCAACTTTGCACTAAACTACCAAAGTGGTAGCAATACATCTAAAAGTGTTTCTAAAATGCACTTACCAGATATCTAACCAAAAAACCAGGGCCAGAGGTGAAAAGGGAGAAAAACAGAAAGGGAGAATGATGAATCCCTGCCACCTTGAAGCTAAGCTAACTCTTTCACACTGGAAATCAAACAGTAAATGAATTAGCATATCCAAGTACTAGCTGATAATATTGCTAAGCTGAAAAATGGCATTTTGGTAAGTAGAGAATGAGAGGTTCATGAAGGAGATAGATTAAGGAGAAAGGTAGAAAACACACCATAAACAAGTGCATGGGAAGTGTGAAGGAAAGTGTTGTCAAAAGAGTAGATTATGTCACTCTGCCTGGAGTCTCTCCTTAGTCTAACCTATTCTACATGCTGTTGCCAGGTTTATGATTTTTATTGACAAACACAAACATTACCACCTCAACTCACAAAAAATTTCCAGCATAAATATTGAGAGAGGACTACAGAGAAACTAACCCTTCACCTTCAGAAATAGCCTTAATACAATAATTTTCAAATTTAAATTTTCTAATATATAATTCTCATGTTATTTATAAATAATTACTGAGAATACACAAAGTATAAGATAGAATTATGAAAACTACAGTGCATAGAATGTACATTTTATTATGAAGAGTAGGTCACTTTAGCCTCCCTATTTTATAAAGATTTATTTTGTAAGGTAAGGGAGAAACTATTAGTAGAAAAATAGTAAGAGTTTGCCAAGTATATGGTTTATATGCATGTACCATTAGAATTAATTTTAAATATTTTACTTTAAATATTTTAATGTTTTAAAAATAGGCATGTTAATCACAAGTAGTAGAATTTAAACACTAAGTTTTTATTTAAATTCAAACTATCACTCTAAAAGTATGCCTCTACAATAGGCAAGTAATTCCCTGAAACTATAGCAATAATAGTTATGCCTTTTTCAAGAGCTATTTCATAAGCAAAGAAAATGTAGCTATGGATATATTCAGAAAAAATATTGTATGTACTTACTGTGGAATATCATATTTTATAAGGTTTTAAATACAAAATGAAACACAAATCACCATCACCAGCACTAATTACCAAATTAAGACACAAGGATTTTATCAAATGTCAAGGCAATATAAAAATGTTAGAAAATTGTATGTGGCAGAGTAAAGATTCTCTGCACCTCTATACTACAAACTGCATCCTCACAACCTTTCTCTTCCTCCCTGAAGTGGTACTTTTTGAGCTTCTTGATTTGCTCTTTCCTTTTTCTTATACTCATGTTTCTTGGATGAGGCTATTTTGACTAAGTGGTCATGACATAAACATTTTAATGTGCAGGTATAGAAGCTAAAATTAAGAATTGGGGGGCACAGGGAAAAATAATCAGACATTGTCACACCTACTTTGTGACATCAAGCCCTATCTCTATTTATATCTCTCTATACACACATACATAAACATGGGTGAATGTGTGTTTGTGTATGACACTAACTTTCAGGGTTTTTTGCACCACCAAGAGATGTGCATATATATTAATCACTATCTTTATGTTCCAGATTTTGATATACCTTGATAATCAGTCCCTATATCCTCCTCAAACTCAAATAACACACCTTGACTTTTTTACTGATTATGCTAAGGAAAGCTCACCTGGTAGTAACGCTTGTGCAGAACAGAAAAATATCAAGTGAATTCATATCTATCTTGTTACTTGGAATAATAAACTATTTAAAATTTTGTTTTTCTAAAAAGAATATGGAAAAAAGGTGCTTTGTTGTGATAAGTTTGTGTAAAGTTTATAAGGATGTAAGTCAGGTCTACACAACTTACTTCTACCTACTTTTCAACATTCCTAGATATTTTTCTAATATTTCTAGACATATAACATAAGAAGCCCCATTTAAACTGATCCTTGAATCTAGCCTTCACTTTTTACAGCATTTACACCTCTATCTTCCCCTCTTCTCTAACCTATCAATCTCAAAATTCTTGTATCTCTAACTGATTTAAACTCAGTTTTTTATATGGCCATGAACTCATTCTGAATCTAATCAAATCAAGTAGAAAGCTCTCCTTTTGATTTACATAGCACTTTGTACATCCTCAATGAATTAAGTCATTGTTCATTCACTATTGTGCTTTCAAACCTCTCCTTTAGAATAAGGATATTGCAGAGCAAGCATTCAACAAGTGTTGTATACATGTTATGGAGCTTAACCAAACACTACTTTAGAACACTGGGCATCACACTGATGTGAAGGAATGATAGACATGCGAATAACAACTACAAATCATGATTATTGGTATTGACAAACTTTCCAAACAAATTACAATTCATTTTACCATCTGAAATGCTGAATAACACAGAATTATGGTGTCCTGGACCTGTAGTACCACCTCCCTCAACAGCCTCATGCACATCTAATGAAATAATTAAAGCACTACTGTGAACTACAAAATGCACTGCTGTGCAATGCCTCCTGCCTGATCACCCTCTCGTGTCTTAGGATTTCAAAGAAAGATAAATAAGGCAAAGAAAGAAAGGCAAATAGTCAAACTGGTTAGAGGTAGAAACACATTTATAGCACAGATTAGCAAATTGCATATTTCTCTACAATACACATAGATTTCTAAGTAGACACAACAATGGTATACCTGGGACTAGCCTCATTTTAATCTTTTATTTTATTTTCGACCCAACTATTAAGAAAATTTAATAATATGGAATAATCTTAATTTAAAAAAATTAACGGGAAAATAAAATGTGAAATTCTACCCACATTGTTATCTTAGTTTGTTTTCTTGTTGCTATGACAAAATACCTTAGTCTGGGTAATTTACAAAGAATATAAATTTATTTGGCTCATAGTTCTGGAGGCCAAGAAGTCCAAGGACACAGTGCCACTATCTGCTCAGTATTTGGTAAGGGCCTTCTTGCTATATCAGAGCATGGTAGAGGATATCATAAAGCAAGACAGAGAAAGAAAGCCGGCTTGAGGTCTCTCTTCCTCTTCTTATAAAGCCATTAACATCATCAGGGAGGTTGTACTTAGATACTTCCTCATATTCTAAGTATCTTCTAAAGACCTTACCTCCAAATACTATTGACTGGCCTGGGGATATAGCTCAGTTGGTAAAGTGCTTGCTTTGTGTGCACAAGGCCCTCGATCTCCAGCACCACAAAAAAAAAAAAAAAAAAAATACTATTGCCCTATAAAGATGGAAATTATTTCAACACATATACATTTGGGGAACACATTCACATGGTAGGTGTGAATCTCTTAATCAAATATTGTGTTGTATTAGTCTTTGTAACCCTGAGGCAGGTATAGTGCCCACCCAGTATATGGTATTTCCTTCTTAAAAGCTCTTTGAACAAACGCAATTTATTTAAAGATGATATCAATTATTCAGACTAAAAGTAAAACAAAAAATTCCACATGCTCTTTCATAGAAATAAAAAGCCTTCTAAGTAAAAAAAAGTCAATTAATTATAATTTAAGAATGCATATACTTGTAAATGCATACATAGTTTGCTACTCTGATAGTAATATAAAAAAGCATTGAAATATATTTACCCATTATATGATTCAGACACACCAGCAAATGGCTCATTTTCACATTTGGCATAAATAAATATAAGACTCAGCACAAGTGCAACTCCAGATGTGAACAATGCAAATTTCATTGTATTTTTACATGTCATTTTGAACTTTGAAACAAGAACACCTCCTAAAATCTGACCAAGAGCAGCTCCAGGAATCAAAACAGCTCCTAAGGAGAAAAAAGGCAAGAGAGAAAACACAGGAATACTGAGTAAATCAAACTGACAACTGGGAAAAAGTAAAAAGCAAGATACAATATGGTTTAACATACAGAAGTTTTCAGCCAACATAAAAATACCGCATAAATGAAAGTTGTTTTATTAAGTAAGGGTTTAGTAAAATTAACTGTTGAACATGAAGATATTCTCTTTAGCCTGATAGAATTGTCTATCTCAGGTTCATACAATGAATTGTCATAAAATCAGAAACTTTTATCCAAACAAGTATAAAGTGTAGAGGCTGAGGTTGTGGTAGAGYGCTTGTCTCACACGTGTGAGGCACTGGGTTCGATCCTCAGCACCACATAAAAATAAATAAACAAAATAAAAGTATTGTGTTCATTTACAACTAAAAAACAGAAAAAGAAATTGAAAATTTTTAAGTATAAAGTGTAAATTTCAAGGTGCAAGATATTCAAAATTATATATTATCCTACTGAAAATGAGCTGCTGTGGTAAAGTAAAATTATTAGATTAAGTTAGGACAAAGAAAAAGTTTTACCTCCAAGGGTAGCTGCAAAGCTGGATGACAGTCCAAATTGATTTTCTATAAATTTAGGTAAAAATGTTGCAAATCCAGTAGTAACTAAGGCTTCTGAAGAAGTTGATAAAACTAAACACATAAAGACAGTATTCCTCATCAAATTCTAAAGAAAAAAATACAGTTCACCAAATGAATAACTAAGATTATACTGCAAAGTGCAGCATTAAAATGGTAGCATTGTGAAATATCAAAACTTTCAATAAACACAATATTAGCCTGTAAAATTACAGCATTCTCTCCAGTATCAAAATATAACTAAGGATAATTAATAGATTTACATATGTATTAATGAGAAAATGGGTAGGTGAAGCATCTAGAGAATTACAGAGACTTCATCAGTGCCATGACCATGCCTTTATTACACTCAACAGGCTAGAGACAGAAGGTAGAAGCTCACTTGGAAAGGTTTCCTTACCCACACTTATTATTATAGATGCATGTACTATAAATCCACTTATTTGATTTTTAATTGTGTTTTGAATTCTTATGTCCACTAAACAAAAACCTTGAGACTATGAGCACAGATGAGATTGGTCTCTAAGGATCATAATGACACTCAAAGAATAAGGAGTCTGAAATTTAGAATAAAGTTGAACAACTAAATATCTTTATTGCTGGAATGCTTCTAATCTTTATGCTTAAGCATTAACTAGAAATCAGATACATGAAAATTTTTGCAAATTAACACATAGAAAATCAACATCATACTAACCTGGAACTTCAACTGCAACACATTTACATAGAAAAGAACAAACAGTACCCAAAAACTACTGGAATTAAAGTGGAATGACCCTCAAAATATTCATTTAGTCAGAAATATTATTCAGACATTCAAGGATATTAGGTGGTATCCCATCCAAGGAAAAGCAGCAATAAAACTCCGTACTCATAGAGAACTGAATCAGTATAGGGATTTCTACACAGAAGGTATAAGGATAAAAAAAAAATGGAAACCAATAATTCTTGAAAATAGTGTAAATTATAATTTATAAAATAAGTTAAGGAAAATATATCAAACAGAACAGAGCTACTGTAAGAGAAAATAATAGTAGTTGGAATTAAGTTATGAACAAGCTTATGAGAATCTGCACATGTGGAGAGGAGACAAAAGGTGGCTGAGGGGAGAAGGAAAAGGCTTCAGTGACAAGTGATCAAGCACTGCATAAGGGAAATAAGAGGGGAAAATGGGCTAGTTAACAAAGGGGACCACAGATTATTGATATCACCAATAAAATAACTCATGCTTTTTCAGCTATTCTACTCTGGAATAGTTGTTCTCAAGGGGAAAAAAAACTAAATCTGAAGAGATGTTGATAAAAGGTAGAATTTCAGTAAATGAGCAAACAAAAATATACTACAAAAAGGTTTGTGTGTGTGTTTTACATATGAATTATGTACATGCAGATGAGGGATGGAAGGAAAGTAAGGGGAAAAAAGTGAAAGTGAAAACAGTTTATTTCACCTTCAGAGCAGCTGGGAAATCTTTAAAACTTTTTCCAAAATTCTCATCTGTGTGTTGCAAGGAACTACTCTTATTCTGATGAGTCTGGGAAATTTTTCCAGCTTGAATTTTTGCTGTACCTGGGGAAAAAATAGTAAACGTACTTGCTCTATCATCTCACTCACCATTTCAAAAAATGCTTACTTTTTAATTGACACAAACTTCCACAGCTATGTAAATTCTATAACAAAAGAGGACAGTTCCTCTCTGTCAATAAAATAGTACAAATATTTATGTCTGCGATGAGGCCGGCCCAAGAGCTAACTTTCATTACCACTACCTAAGGAAGTTCCAACAGTCTAAACATTAAAATGAGACAATTTTGCTCTCATCTCCTATACATGTTGTCTACATTTCAAATGTTTCTCTTTCTCATCCTTTATATACTAAAGTACATTATGGCTATTTTTCTTTCCTCTTTTTTTCTAAGACGCTTGGTAGATGAAAAATAATATTTACTATCACAATGTCCCTTTCATTTTTAATTTTATTATTTAATTTTGTACTGGAGATTGAAACCAAGTGCACTTCATCACTGAGTTATATCCCCCAGTCTTTTAAGTAAAAGTCTCACTAAGTTGCTGAACATCTACGTTGGTATGGCTGGTCTTGATTTTGCAATCCTCCTGCAAATTCCCAGCCTACCAAAGTAGCTGGTATTACAGACAAGTGCTACCAGGCCTGGCTTCATTTTTCAATAGTACTATGTGAATAAATCTGAGAAAATAGTCAACATATGAAATCATAAATTGGAGGACACCTGCAGTAAAAAGAAATCAATGAGTTCATCTACTTTTAATCTGTCAAGTTCTCTTTTGCCCATTTCCAAAAATTAATCATCTATCTTTTTGCAAATAACAATGGGAATCACTAAATATTCCCAACCTAGAGAAAAGTACTTCTATATACTTATTTCAGATACAGAAGCAAGATCTCAGAGGACAATGAACATTATTTTCTATTAAATTTTTCCTTTTAAATAAATGTCTAGTATTAAGATATGATAAAAATGAATGTATTACAATATGACTTCAATGATAATTGAAAAAAAATAAGCACTTGTAACCACAAATAATTAACATGAAGGATTTGAGGCAGAATGTTCCTTGAAATTAGTCATTAACAAGATACAAACTAAGAGTTTTAAAGATATTGTATCTTACAATATAATATAATAAAGCAGGACTCCAGATAAAAGATAAAAAACAAATTTAGTAAGTAGTAAGGAAATGAAAATAAATATATATATATGTATATATATACATATATATATTAATGAGAAATACATGCATATTAAAATTGCATATTATATATATATTAATGAGAAATACATGCATATTAAAATTGCAAGTAAAAATTGTCTAAAATAAAGTTATGTATTCAAAAGTTTACATATGTACACAACTGAGATTCTATACAAAAGCAAAGTGGACAAATGTACAATCTTATTAGTCGTATAGAAAACAACATCTGGCTGGGCTCAGTGACTTTCACTTATAACCAGCAACTCTAGAGGTGGAGGTAGGAGGATGGCAAGTTCAAAGCTAGCCTCTGCAATTTAGTGAGACCCTAAGAAACTTAGTGAGATCCTGCCTCAATACACAAAAGAAAAGGACTGGGGGTTTAGCTCAATGGACAGGGCCCTGTGTTCGATCTCCTTACCAAAAAAAGAAAACTACATCCTTGCTAGAATTGGAAAAAAACATTCTGGTTTTAAAGAAAACTTTTTTACCTGGTAAATGTTTGGGGAAGCAAGAGAATGGTACTATCAAAGACCAAGCAATGAAGCAAGATATGAGAAATCCAATCCACCAAGCCCCCAACCATCGTGGATCATCCTCAGTGATACCAGAGCTAAACAAAAAAAAAAAAAAAGAGGTAAAAGCCAAGTCAATGTTGTTAATTAAAACTCAGTTATGATAAGCATAGACTCGAAAATTAAAGAGAATCAAGTATGATATTATCATAATAACCAAATTTTTATTGATGCCTTTCTGATAATCAGACAATGGTAGCAGACATTAATAAGTTAAATGAATAATTATTTACAAAGTTTTTTAAAACAATAAATGTGACATAAAATTTTAAAATATTTAACAGTTAATAAGTATGATGGATATTTGAAAACATATATATAGAATTTCTGAGGATTCTTTATTAAACTATCACTGTTTTTACCCTCTACTATGTTAAAATTATTTAAAATTATTATATAATTATTTAAAATTAATTAAATGTATCTCACACAAAAAAATCACTGACCTATGTTGAAAGCCCACATTCAGGGCTTCACATTTGGCATTTACTTAAATTTAAACTCTTCTAAAGTGATTTGGAGTCACTGATATTTCCACACATGCATACTGTGTACCTTGATCCTATCCACCCACCCATCTTTACACTTATTCCCCTTGTCCGCTGGCACTCATCCCAAGTCCCTAGAAATCACTGTTCTACTTTCAAGTTGATTTTGTTTTTCAGTTTCCTCACATAAGAGAGAGCATGTGATAATTTTCTTCCAGTATCTGGCTTTTATTCTGTTACCATAATGTCATCCAATACCATTCATTTTGCTATAAGTGACAGAATTTTATTTTTCTTTATGGTTGAATAATATTCATATATATGTACTTATTTCTGATATATATGTGTACATACATTATATATGTATATGTAAACACGCACATCACATACACATAAATATATATGTGTATATATATTTTCTTATTTAATCCTGTCATATATGTGTGTGTGTGTGTGTGTGTGTATAAAATATTTTCACATGTCCATTTATCTGTACCTAGGTTGAATCCCTATCTTGGCTATTGAGAAGAGTGCAGTAACAAACATGGGTATGCAGAAATCTCTGATTTATGCTACATTCACTTCCTTTGTATATACACCCAAAGTAGCATAGCTGGATCATTTGGAAGCTCCATTTTTTCATTTTTGAGGAACCTCCATACTATTATTATCCATAGTGGCTATACAAATTTACATTCTCACCACAGTGTATAAGAGTTTCCTTTTTCTCCACATTCTTGCCAAATTATTTGTATAATAGCAGTTCTAACTCAGATCATTTGCCATTCTTTAATTGAATAACTTGTGTTAAATTTTTGTGTTCCTAAGAAAAATCTGGATATTAACAATCCTAAATCAAATGAGTAACTAGCAAACATTTTCTACCATTCTGTAAAGTTGTCTGTTGTTTCCTCTTCTGTGTAGAAGCTTTTTCATTTGATGTAATCCAATTTGTCAATGTTTGCTTTTGTTCCGGAAATTTTGGGGTCCTACCCAAAAAATCATTTCTCAATCTGTATCCTGAAGTACTCTCCCTATATTTCCACTAGTAGTTTCAGAATTCTAGGTATTGCATCAAAATCTTTAAACCATTTTGAGGGTTTTTTCTTTGTTTTGTTTTAACTTATCACAGTCTATAAAAGGTTATACTAAGACTAAAAACTCTAGGGGAAAAAAAATCACATACGAAGGACCACATTTCCTTATTCATTGCTTATAATCAAGCAAAGGATTGTGCAGTTATGATTCCCAATGGTAAAATGAAAAAACAGATTCTCAGCAAAGGTCATTAATTTGTCTATTCAGGAAAAGGTAAAGACAGGTAATGTGGATTTTGCAATTAAAAGATCTACTTCAATAATGTTGTGGCTACTTACCAACCTGTAAGTATCAGCTGCTTTAAAGGATTATTGGGAAGATTAAGTAAGAAAACATGTAAGTTATGTTTATTGGAAACATTTGCTGTCTGGAATATAGTATAGGATAAATATTATATCATTATTATTATATTACCACGTTATTAAAATAGTGATCTCTATGACATTATAATTATAATTGTAATCTGTATGACATTATCAGAGCTACCAGAAAATTTATTCTGAGAATCAAAGCCCCATCAGATACTTCAGGCTAGCTGTCCCCAACTAAATCTACAGAAAACATGACTACTTTATATTGAATTGTTGATTTTGAACAATGCATGAAATCTTAGAAAAAAAATGTATTTCTAAAAATTTAAACACATAACCCTATTAAATATCCTTATTTATGAATAAATACATTATTACACCAAGAGATGGTATGGTATTTGTTTATGAAGCAATGCAGCCAGAATAAGATATCATATAAAAGTTGTATATGGTCAGTTTTGTGGCTTAAAAATCCCACGACATATTGAATAAGTACAGTGAAAATGATCTATAATGTTAGTATATTGAAATCAAATAGACTCAAATGAAATAAAAAGAGATATTGCCTTGCCTTTCTCCAATAGCAACATCAATGTACATGGTTAACAGTTGTCCTCCCAAAACATAGCCAATGGCTGGGCCTAAGATTGACATAGAATAGCCGATTCCTAGAAAGAAAGAAAAAAAACAGACATTGGAAAGAGCCAAATGTACAACTTTATTTACATCTCTAACAACAGTGAAAAAAGACAAATATTTTGCTATAGAAAAATATAACTAAGGAAGTCTACTTCAAAATTACAAAAAAAAATTCAATAAATATACCATTTGAATGGTATCATTTTATCAATAATTATGTTAAGGAATCTAAAATGTATGTCAGTAGAAAATCTGTCTAACTATAATAATTACAACAAGCCAAAATAATTGCAACTCCATGGAAAGTTAGATTACGTTCACTGGTGGCATAAGTAGCACATCTACTATTATTCTGTACTATGAATGATAATTAGTGTTTACAATTTCAGGAAATAAAACAATATGAAACAAGAAGTCTCCTTACTTTGCACCCACTTGGAGAGTATTTAAATTGCCATACAAAAGGATTTTGAAACTTCTATCTGCTGTTAATTCCATTTCTTAATAGACATTCATTAAACCTCTTGTTTTTAGACATTCTCTATTTTTAACTAGAGGCAAGATTTAATTGAACTTATTTGTGTCTATTATATATTTAACATTTTCCTGTGTATCAAAAAATTAACTGTATTACCAACTTACAGACTACTGATGGGTTTTTCATTCTTATACAAAAAAGAAGAGGAAACTTAGTTTTTACCTAAACTAAGTTTTTACCTAAACTAAGTACATCTCAATGGCAAAAAATGACTAATGTACTAAATCAAGTCTCCAAAATGAAGCTCATGGAAGATGATCTGAAAACATAATTTTTATCTATCTGCCAACTTCCTTAATTTATAATACAGCTGTATTTTAAAAAGTAAAAAATACTTTAGTAAAAATATTAAACTATATAATTCATAAGTAGTTGTGTACATATAAAGAATTCATACTCAAAAATACTTTATTAATAAAAGGGCATCTTAAAAATGCTAGAAATCAGTAATTTATAAATTCTTTTTTGTGGTGATCTTGTTTGCTTGTTTGTTTTGGTACCAGGGATTGAACTCAGGGGCACTCAACCATTGACTCACATCCCCAGCCTTATTTTGTATTTTATTTAGAGACAGGGTCTCACTGAGTTGCTTAGTGCCTCACCTTTGCTGAGGCTGGCTTTGAACTCATGATCATCCTGTCTCAGCCTCCCAAGCTGCTGGGATTACAGGCATGTGCCACTATGCCTAGCTTAGTGGTGATCTTTTAAAGAAATGATTACCAATTCAGTTAAACCAACAATTTTGTAAGGACATCTTAAAACTTTTGTAAAGCACACAGTTGCTATAGAAGTTTCCATATTACAGATGTACCTAGATCTGGGCATATGGATCAGTGATAAAATGGTTGTCTAACTGTACAAAGCTCCCAGGTTCAACTGCCAGCATTGGAGGCAAAAAAAAAAAAAAAGAAAAAAAATTAAAGGATGTGCCCAGGTAGAGTTAGTAGTCTGTCAGGGCCACACCGAACACACTGACTTTCAGTACTACAGCAATGAGTTTCTTATGATAGAATAAAAAACAATAAAGAGAAAATTCATATAAAAAATAATCAGGCAATAATTAGATGAAGCACCTTGCATAGTCTGGTTAGCTCTAGACTTCAGAGAAGGAATTTTACCTAGAATTAGTTCACAAAGGGGAAAAAAAAGCACTCATATAAAAGTGTTAATCCAAAATGAAAATTTAAGAGTTTCTACACACCCTCTGGTTTTTGTTTTTTTGTTTTTTGTGGAGTCTATTCAAGTTAACGTAGATGTAACCAGTCACAATTCCCACACCCTGTGTAAGTTCCCCAGGATTTAGGCAACCCAGACAAAAGGCTTCTCCAGTGGTTCTTTCCATCCAGGAAGGTTAGCATGCCCAGAGGAGGATATAAGCAAAAATCATTATGCATTTTATTAATCATCTGGTTATAGCAGCAAATAGTTAAATAAAGGAAATACTGCATTTTCCTAGTGGAAATGCCTATGACATTACAAATAACTTTTTACCAAGCCTGTTTTGCTTTACTTGTAAAATGAAAACCAAATTTCTTTACCTTTTGACAAAGATCAAGTATACTCATAAAGTAAACAATAGGACAAAATGATCCTGGGATGATTATATTAGAGGTTAAACTTACCTATGTAGAGAGAAGACTTGTGAGTGGGCACAGAATCATCAATAAAGGCTGTTCCCAGGGTGTAGAGAGGGGTTCCTCCAGTCCCCAGCAACAGTTGCCCCAAGATGAAGACATACAAGTAGTTAGAAAGCGAAGAGTTGGATGAGGTACAACTGGTGCTATTCCTTGTTGTTGAGCAAGTGTCTTTAGTTAAAAAAAAAAAAAAAAGTGAATCTACAGCAATTCATCAAGTAAATATCTAGCTTACAAATGATTTTTGCTTAACATAGTCCTTACTTTTTTTTTTCAATCACTTCACTTTGATTATATTTTGACTTTCTAAAGTTGGATGGCATCAGTCTCTTTGCTGGTTGCAACCCATTTTACAGCCCCAAATGAAAGTTTCTGTTAAGTAATGAAACCTACTGCAAACATCTTACAAAGAGCTGGTTAGTGAATAATTCACCTCATTGAAAGATAAATAACAACCAAAAAAGAAAAGCAAATTGTATGACAGAATTCTCCATAAAAATATCATAAGAATGTAGTTTCTAAATTATCACATCATGAACCTCCATACTGCTTTCCAGACTGGTTGCACCAATTTGAAGTCCTACCAGAAATGTAAAAGTGTGCCTTTTATCCAACATCCTCACCAACATTTATTGTTGCTTGTATTCTTAATAACTGATATTTTGACTGGAGCAAGATGAAATTTTGAGTAGTTTTGATTTCCATTTCTCCAATTGTTAGAGATGTTGAACATTTTTTCATATATTTGTTGCCTGATCGTGTATCTTCTTCTGAGAAGTGTCTGTTCAGTTCCTTAACCCATTTATTGACTGGGTTATTTGTTTTTTGGTTATTTGGTTATTTGTTTCTTTGACCCAGTATCCCACGCGTCGGTTTATACCCAAAGGATTTTAAAACATCATACTACAGTGATGCAGCCACATCAATGTTTATAACAGCACAATTTATAATAGCTAAATCGTGGAACCAACATAGATGCCCTTCAGTATATGAATTGATAAAGAAACTGTGGCATATATACACAATGAAATATAACTCATCATTAAAAGAGAATAAAAGCATGGCATCTCCAGGTAAATGAATGGAACTAGAGAATATCATGCTAAGTGAAATAAGCCAATTCAAAAACAAAAAAAAAAAACAAAAAAAAAACAAAGACTGAATGTTTTCTCTGATAAATGGATGCTGATCCATAAGGGGGGTAGGGAGAGAGAACATGGGAGGAATGGAGGAACTTTGGATAGTGCAAAGGTAGGAAAGGGAAGGGAGGGGAGATAGAGAAGGACAGATGGTGGAATGAAATGGACATCATTACCCTAGGTACATATATGAAGTCTAGTTTGTGTACAACCAGAGAAAAGAAAAATTGTGCTCCATTTGTGTACTATGAATCAAAATGTATTCTGCTCTCATGTATAACAATTTCGAATAATAAATAATTTTTTATAAAAATAAAATAAATAAAGTCACATTATGATACTTAAAAAATAATACTGAAAATCACCTCTTAATGTTGAGAATTCATACAGAGCTTATAAATTCATGGAAGCATGCTGATATGGAAAGAATATACATGGGCTGATAAAATTCAGAAAAGACATGAAAATAAAACAACAAAACTATCAGAAATGAGGATCACACTGGAATGATCAAAAGGAAATAAAGATTAAGAAAATTATAAGAAGAGAAGATGCAAACATGAAGAATATTAAAGAAAAATTAAAATACCACAATTTATAAATGTGAGAGAATATTATATATAAGGATTCAAAAAATGCAAAGAAATACCTAATCATCTAGAAATAAATATTATACACACACACACACACACACACACACACACACACACACATACACCAAGGTAAAATAAGGAAACTTCCCTGAAATAAATGAAGACTAATCTATAATTTAAAAAGACATAGAATGTCTGAGTGAAATGTGATGCAGGATTTTTGAAACCAAGATATTCCCTTGCAAATTCACTGGATTTTAGAAGGTAAAGAAATAGCATTTTGAAAAACAAGACACAAAGATAAAGTTATTTATGCAGAGGGAGATAAAAATCAGTATGTTTGGCAGGCATGGTGGTGTATGCCTAAAAATCCCAGAAATCTGGAAGGCTAAGGTTAGCCTCAGGCTAGCCTCAAGAACTCAAGAGACCTGTCACAAAATAAAAAGGCTCAGTGGTAAAGTGCCACTATATCAAAACAAATTAAAACCCAGTAAGTGTGCACAAACTTTATACTCAAACTCTTTCAGATATAAAGACAAAAACAAGTGTTTAAACACATCTTAAACCTCATAGAATAAATCTTGTTTGAAAAAAAAAAAATTTCTAGAGTACAGTCAATCTACCAAGGAATCCTCCATTCAGAGATGAATGTGGACCTGAAGAACTTAATAAATTATTTATTAAATTGGACTGTTATAATATCATTTTATAAAATGGATTCAACAACTCTGTGTATACTGTTGAGGAAATTATTTGAACCTGCGATTTTGACTTTCAGTGGAAAATCAGTTTTGAAAACACTCAACATTGCTTAATAGGGAGGAATTGGATAATGGCTACCGAAATACAGTTAGATAGAAGAATAAATTCTGGTGTTTCACAGCGCAGTAGTATAACGAAGGACCACTTTATGTTTTGAATATAGCCTTTACTGCTCTTCCACTGCAACTTATTTTTTTACATGGGCATGTTTCTTTTTTTTTTCTCTCTGCTCCTCTTTAATCTCTCTTCCTCCCTAACCTCCAGGGAAATAGGATTACCCTTCTTCCCCATCCTAGGCAGATTTATCTGTCCTTGACTACACACCCACCAAAGGAACAAAGTAAACCAGACTTTGAGGATGGAACCAGAAGATCTCAGAAATGACTATGGCCCAAATTAACAAGTCAATCACAACTCCAACAGAGAACACTTGGAATGCAGCCTTTGATTCACCTCAGTCCCTGCAGAAGAATCACAGCCTCTTTGACAGGTGTTCCCTTGTGTTTCTACTTTGATATGACAGCAATAAACTTCCTTTTCCTTTTTCTCAAAGCTGTATTCTCATTGGATTGACATCAGGAACAAGAACTAAGCTTTCCGTTACAGTAGGGAGATTATATTAGTTTACGACAACAACCTACTATAAAGGTTATAAAGACCCTCAAGAAAGGAGTTTAAAGGCTTCAAATAAAAAGAAATGACAAATGTGGAAATACTAATCGCAAAGTTTTGAAATGGCTAACAGAACGTAGAAATACTAATTTACTGACTTTATCATGACACACTGTCTGCATGTGAATTATAACACTGTCCCCCATACTTATGTAAAGTACTATGTAAATTTTTAAAAATCTAAATTGAAACAACAAAAAAAAGAGGCATGTTATTTGACAACACACCACAAGGTGGAGCCCCTATGTTGTTTATGAATTCCGAATAGGGTTGCCATTAAAATCACAGATTAGAATCTCACTTAATAGAGAATCCAGTAGCAGGTCCTGCCTATAATATTTGCAGAGTCTGCAGCAAAAGAACAAAATCCACATACCATTTGTCAGAATATTTATAAGTTAAATATCAAGCTCAGCCCAACCCTTAATCCCACCCAGACCCAGAGACCCACAGCCTTGTTCCCAAGCATTTGCCCTAGACACCTGGAAGCTGAAGAAATCTCTTTCCCTTTGGCCCATCCTGTAGCCAGGGGTAGGGAAGGATGGATGCTGCGTCAGGGCAGTGGAATTCCACTCCCCCAGTCTCTTTTCTGAGAGAATTCTAGGAGCTGCCTGAGTCTCCCAGGTTGGATTGAAGAGGCAAGGTTTTACAGAGAACCCACTCACTTTAATTACCTGCATCAGGTAGATTGAGCTGGCAAACTTTCCTGTGGCCTCACTTTCTCTCTTCCAGGAAAGTGTAATTTTCTTTCCCTGTCCCCACTCTCTAGTTCCCAGACAAGGCCCTACAGGGTAGAAAAACCTGCTGGATTGTTATATTTGGTCACCCCCCAGTCACAAGAGCACCTTCCTTCCTGAGGAGCTCAGCTCATTTCTGCATCTCCTTTACAGCCTTTTTCAAGAACCCTGTTACCAGTCTTTCAAACCTTTCTTATAAAATTTGAAAAATAAAAGATCTTTGAATGTCAATGTTTGCAAGGTGTGGGGCCCTCTTGAGCACTGGGCTCAGGGAAGGGTCCTTCTTCCACAGGACAAAAATGGATGGTGGCATCTAAAACAGCAGAAAGGAAAATGTTCTTCTTGCAGGTGAGGACCAGCAATACTCCCAAGTCTAAATTCATATCCTTTGTCTGCAACAGGAAATGAGCCAGGGAGCAGCAAAGCAGTTTTGATTCTTTAAGTAGTGTGAGTGGGAGGAGTTTACACAAAGACTCTCACAGGCAGCTCTTTGTGGGAATTGAAAAGCAGGTAGCCTTTACCAGCACAGCCCACCTGCCTGGGATGACAGCCTGATTACTCACCATCTCTGGGGGCCTAACAGGAACTGAGTCAATGAAATAATTTTCAAAAAACAGCTACTGCAGCCTCTTAGAAAGATGTTATAAGAAAAAAACAGCAGCATAATTATATTAAATTAACATTAGGCCAAAAGAAATGTCTTTCTATACGTTCCGTTAGCCATTTCAAAACTTTGCAAATGTAATGACCAATTCATTAGAAAGAAACATCTGAGAAGAAAAATAGAAGAATTAAAACTAAATTAATATTAGGGCATTAGCCCCAAAATATTTTCATGGAGCAGAGGAAAATTTTTAAACATAAATTTCATATTGAAACAAAGCAACTGTTTATGTGAAAGAAGAAAGCAAAGCAGAAACAAAATTTTTAAAAAAAGATGAAATATGCATTGGCAGGAAATCTAAAAGAAAAAAAAATAAAACTCCATAGAAATGAAGATACAATGTAAAGAGATCCAATGTAAAGGGACTAAGAAAATAGAGCAATGGACATACTGAATAGAAATGAGAAAAGTAATTAAAAGAGTGATTAAAAAAATTAACACATAAGCTAGCCAATGGAGATCATTTATACATATAATTGAAGTATCTGAGAAAGAAAACTAAAGCTGTGGAACAAAATATGCAAATGTAAGATTGAGGAAATGACAGTAAAATCTAAAAATATGAATGTAAATTAATTTTTCATAACTGGGTACCAAGGAAATA